GAAGGTCCGAGTCTGAGACGTGCCACAGAGAGAACCAAGGGTCAGGTGTCAGGAGGCAGACAGGGCCAGGTTACCAGGAGATTGGGCATCAGCCATCCAGTAGCAAAGTTGAGGACAAACCAGAGTCAGAAGCCGCAGTCTCGGGACTATTGCAGGCAGGTAGTCTGTGCTATTGCTCAGTCAGCTCCCCTGCATGGCTTCCCGGTTTAAGTATTGGTATCAGCCAGTCAGGGAGCTGCGAGGGGCCACCGCTCCCTTCCTGCTGGGCAGTACGTCCTGCTGAGCCCAGCCTCACAGAGTCCTCCTATGGGATCCCAGCCTAAGCCTCCCATGGCAATGCGGAGACATCAGTGTCCCAGAGTCTCCATGGTTCTTGTTCCAGCCCTGCAGATTATAACAGGATCATCTAGTCTGACTTCTTGGATAACACAGGCCAAAGAACTGCCCCCAAACAGTTCCTCGAGTAGAGCTTTTAGAAAAACACCCAGTCTTGATTTTAAAATGGTCAGTGATGGAGAATTTGCCACGACCCCTGGGTAAGTAGTTCCAATGGTTAATTACCCTCACTGTTAAAAATTTACGCCTGATTCCCAGTCTGAGTTTCTCTAGCTTCATCTTCCAGCCATTGGATCGTGTTCTGCCTTTCTCTGCTAGATTGAAGAGCCCATTATCAAATATTTGTTCCCCATATTGGTACGCCACATCTTACCTTAATCCAAATTAACTTTCAGTGGTAGACAAGCCCTTATTTTGGATTGAGAGGGGCTCATTTTGGTTTAATTTAAACTGTTTCTGAATCAATGAAAGCTCTACTGGTCCAACCAAGAGGTTTGCACTGGTTTAACTAAATTGGTTTAAATTTGCACCTTAAGTTAAATCAGTGGAACTTTCTCGCCCCTAGTTTGCAGCTGGCCACTGCACCTGGTCAGTGTGTGTGTTAAACATGGATCTGTTACAACCCTGGGGGGTAGGCGGATCAGGTAGGGCACCGAGGTCACAAGACTCAAGTGCCGCAAGCCAGCAAGTGTGAGGAAAGGGAGGAAGGACAAGGGGTCATCTAGGCAGAGAAGGAGCCAGAAGGGCTGGGAGTGAGAGACAGGGATCTGATCTGACACCACTGTCCCCACCGGGAGTGAAGGAAAGGATGCTGCAGCTAGGGCGTGGGTGTAATCTGGATTTCCCAGCCAGGAGGACCCCGCAGTTATGGATAAGAGACGATTCGGATGTGGGGCGATTTAAGGAGAGTCGGGAGGGCGATTATGAGAAACTCAAGGGGGCAGGGGCTGGAGGGAGCGGGAAGTTTGAGGAGATTTTGGGGAGGAGGGTCCAGAAGGAGGGGGGGGATTGGGGAGAGGGGCTACAGGCAAAGGGAGGATTTGAGGGGAGAGGGCATTAGAGGAAATTTGGGGAGGAGGGGCCACAGGGAAAGGGGGATTTTGAGGAGATGTGGGGGTATGAGGGGAGGGGCAGGGGAACAAGGGGGGGGTTGAGGAGATTTGGGAGATATGAGAGGAGGGGCAGGGGAACATGGGGGGATTTGAGGCAATTTGGAGGGCATTGGGACAAGAAGGGATTTGAGGCAATTTGGGTGATATGAAGGGAGGGGCAGGGAAACGAGGGCATTTGAAGAGATTTGGAGGATGCAAGTGGAGGGGCTGGGGAACAAGGGGATTTGAGCAGTTTTGTGGGGATATGAGGGGAGCAGTGGAACAAGGGGGATTTGAGGAGATTTGGGGGTCTGAGAGGAGGGGCAGGGGGACAAACGGAGATTTGAGGAGATTTCAGGGATGTGAGGGGAGGGGCAGGGGAACAAGGAGGGATTTGAGGAGATTTCTGGGGATGCGAGGGGAGGGGCAGGGGAACAAGGAGGGATTTGAGGAGATTTCTGGGGATGCGAGGGGAGGGGCAGGGGAACAAGGGGGGATTTGAGGAAATTTTTGGGGCTATGAGGGGAGGGGCAAGGGAACAAGGGGGATTTGAGGAGATTTGTGGGGATGTGAGGGCAGGGGAACAAGGGGGGGATTTGAGGAGAGTTGTGACAGGGGATTGGGGGGGTCAGGGAGGGGTGGCTGAGAGCTTTCTGAACTGAGGAGGAATTATCGTATTGATAGAATTTATGTATTTAGAGCTGGGAAGAAATGGACATTTCAGAGACAGTAGAAGCATTGAGTTGATGGCTTTGATGGTGATAGGATTCAAGTACATTAATCAGGGCTGCCCAGAGGGGGGGGTCAAGTGGGGCAATTTGCCCCTGGCCCCACAGGGGCCCCCACGAGAATATAATATTCTATCGTATTGCAATTTTTTTTATAGAAGGGGCCCCCAAAATTGCTTTGCCCCAGGCCCCCTGAATCCTCTGGGCGGCCCTGACATTAATCAAATATTCTAATCAGTTAATTACATAATTTGCGTGGCATCTCCAGATGTGCTGACAGGCTTACTGGGTGCGTGCCAGGCAGTGCTGCAGGGCTGGGAGTCAGGAGCTCTGGCCTCTGGCGGAGGGTGTGAACTAGTCGGGAGAGAAGTGGCTACAGAGAATAGTCCAGCACATAGGTTTGGCATATTCATTCTAAAAGGCAGTGTGTCTGAGGGCCTGTCTACATGGGCCACAGTCCAGATTACCGGGGTGCAAATTGCAGAGGGCACTGAAATGTTGCACTCTGCCCTATGCTGGTGTGAGCTAAAAGGTACCTAATCCGCATTAACGTCGTCAGTTCTGGAACAGGATTACATCAGTGCACGCTGGGCACTTCTTAGTTTGTATCAGCAGGGTCTACATGGGGCAGTTAGAACGCAACATTTTGATGCGCTCTGCAGTTCACATCCCCGTAGTCTGCCCTGCAGCGCCGTGTAGACAGGCCCCGAGTCGGGGGGGCTGCTGTATTAGAGACCTAGGTTCTGTTCCCAACTCTGCTTGAAGTGATCTTGTGCAAACTCAGCAATCATAGCTGTAAAATGAGGGGAACGATTGTTATCTCCCCTCGGGCTAAGGTCAGGGGCACCGGAATGGGGCGGGCTATGCCTCCCCTCCACTTTAAAAAGCCCTTTTAATAGTCCTCTCACGTTTTACCGGTGTCAGGACAAGGACGCAGGGAGGGGGCAGGGTTTTGGGAGGAAGAGGCGGTGCGGGGGCAGGGCTGGGGGAAGGGGAAACCCCCTCCGCTGTTAGGAAGCTTTGGCCATCTCTGATTAAGGTTGTGAGTCCTTGGTCAATAAGAGCTCTGAACACACAGAACTTATTAACAGCAATCAATGGAGACTTGACTTCCTAGCCTTCCGGCTCTTAGCCCGTGGCCCCTCCCCTTAGGCTACATGCTCCTCTGTAAAGTAGCTTCTCTTTCTGTGAGCTCTCCAGTGGTTCATTCCTCCCCTCCTGGAGGCATAGCTAAGAGCAGGTTTTCTCAAACTGGGGGTTGGGCCCCCTCAGGGGGTCAAGAGGTTATTACATGGGGGTTGTGAGCTGTCAGCCTCCAGCCCAAACCCTGCTTTGCCTCCAACATTTATAATGGTGTTAAATATATTAAAAAGTGATTTTAATTTATAAGGTGGGTTGCAATCAGAGGCTTGCTATATGAAAGGTGTCACCAGTACAGAAGTTTGAGAACCACTGGCTAAGAGCTTTGTAGCAACTGGTTTTGGCGGCTTGTTCGTTGTGCTGCATTTCTGTTTTGCCTGTTCTGAGAAAGGTGATGTTTGACAAACAGGGAGTTCCAGGGGAGCTCTGTCTCTCGGGAACCCTTGGACCAAATGACTCCAAGTTTGACACAGATTCTACTCTTGCCCCTGAGCTGCCATTAGAGTTGGCACCCATTCAGGTTTTACCTGACAGTCTGGTTTTTGGCTTCTGTGTCTGGGTGCCATATTAGGGTTGTCAGGTGCCCGGTTTTCGACTGGAAAGTCCAGTCAAGAAAAGGGGACCTGGCAGTGTCTGGTCAGATGTACCATGGGGTAGAGGTGGCGTTGGGTCATTAACCTGTGCCAACTCCTGCTCAGCTGGGGCTGCTTCCTACCTGCAGGCAAGCTCCCTGTCAGGCTCCAGCAGCTCCTGTCCCAGCTGCGAAGCAGAGGGAGCCTAGCTGGGGTGGGAGGAGGCTATGATCCAGCAAGGGACAGGGGAGAGGAGAGAGAGATGGGCGTAGGGCCTTGGGGAATGAGGCAGAGAAGGGGGTGGGGCCATGAGGGACGAGGTGGAGCAAGGGTGGGGCCTTGTGTGGAATGGGCGGGGCAGAGGCGGGGCCTCAGGGGTCCAGTTACCAGCAATTAGAAAGATGGCAACCCTAGCTGGCATGCCAGTTTTCAAGCTGATCTCACTGTTCGTCTGGATTTCAAAGTGGTTTGATAATTAGTTTTAAATCAAAACCTTGTTGCAACCATCCTTAACTGTGTCCCCCACCATCGTCGCATCAGAGCGCCTTTTCTCACCACAACTTCAAGACTACTTAGCCTGGAATCTCCACCTTTGCTTTAAACCATTGTGGAAAGTGGAAGGTTTGGTGCTCCGTGCAGCTCTGACTAGGGGAATGGGGTGGTATGAAGCGAGATGAGTGCAGGGGCTGGGTTGGGAGGTCCTGCAGGCCAGGAGAAGTTGAGTGGGGATTGGAGACAGCACAGAGAAGCGGGTGGGCACCGACCCAGCTCAAGGTAAGGAGAGATGGTTTTAAGTGAGAGTGAGCAGGCAGTTGTAGACAACTGAGGTGCAGAACAAACAAAGGCAGAATGGATGGTTCCCCCATCACCACCACCACCAGTTCTGCCACATCTCACCCAGGTCAGGATTGTTCCCAACAGCTGTTGGATCCTCCTGACAGCCATCACTCACAATTTCCCACAACATCCGGGAGTAGTCCCCTCCCCTTGAGAGCTCGGCAGGGTGTTTGGGGTGGGGGGAGATTCAGCTCCTGATTTTTCGATCTCCCCAGCAGCTCTCTGGGCTAATCCCCACCTTGGCCGATCTCCCTTCCCCCTCGGTGCAGGGACTGACTTGTGTCTGGGTTCTCCAGCAGGTGACGGGGCGCCAAGTGACAATGAGGAGGCGACCCCCCCCCCAGGAAGGTTCTGAGAAGGTGGAGTCACCCGAGGCCTTGCCAGGAAAAACCGAGGGCCCCGATCAGGGTAAAGCCAGCGGGAGCCAGTGCCGGTCGGAAGGGCAGCCACCGCAGCAGAAGAGCCCCACGCCGGGGAAGCAAGAGGGCAAAGCCACTCGCCGCACCAGCGTCAAGAAGGGGAAAGAGCCCCCACTGTCGCAGCAGCAGCGGGGGGCAGGCGTCTGCACCGAGTGTGGGAAGGACTACGGCTGCGGGCGGGCAGCGCAGCGGGTGCAGACACCGGAGAAGCCGCACCAGTGCGGGGAGTGTGGGCGCTGCTTCCGCCAGCGCTCCATCCTGGCCAAGCACCAGAAGATCCACACGGGGGAGAAGCCCTACCGCTGTGACGACTGTGGCAAGTGCTTTAGCCGCGGCTCCAACCTGACACAGCACCAGCGCATCCACACTGGCGAGCGCCCCTTCCATTGCGGCGACTGCGGCAAGAGCTTCATCCAGAAGTCGGACCTGGAGCGGCACCAGCGTGTCCACACCGGCGAGCGCCCCTATCAGTGCGGCCAGTGTGGCAAGTGCTTCAGTGTCAGTTCCCACCTGGACCGGCACCGGCGCACCCACCTGGGGGAACAGCGCCGCCACCATGCCTGCGGAGGAAGCAAGGGCTGCGGCGGCGGCCCGGCAGCCCGTCACCGGGCCTGCCAGGCTGAGGAGGAGGACGAGGAGGAGGCGGTGGCTGCCCACCAGTGTCCCGAGTGTGGGAAGTGCTTTGCCCAGCGGGCCTCACTCTCCAAGCACCGCAAGACCCACAGCGGCGAGCGGCCCTACCAGTGCGGTGACTGCGGCAAGCGCTTCAGCCGCAGCTCCAACCTGACCCAGCACCAGCGTATCCACACCGGCGAGCGCCCCTTCCAGTGTGGCGACTGCGGCAAGCGCTTCATCCAGCGCTCCGACCTGGAGCGGCACCAGCGCGTCCACACCGGCGAGCGGCCTTACACCTGCCCCGACTGCGGCAAGAGTTTCAGCGTCAGTTCCCACCTGGACCGGCACCAGAAGATCCATGCTGCTGAGCAGGCCTCCTACCGCTGCCCCGAGCACCTCAAGGGCTTCCTGGCCGCCCACCAGCACGGCAAACTCTTCAAGTGCTCTGACTGTGGACGCTGCTTCAGCCAGAGCGCGGCGCTGATCAAGCACCAGCGGGTGCACGCCAGCGAGAGGCCCCACCAGTGCACGGACTGCGGGAAGAGCTATGTGGCCTGCGGCGCTGGCCCCAAGGCCCAGGCGGCGGCTGGAGGGAAGCCCCACAAATGCACCGACTGCGGAAAGAGTCTGGGCGGCATCTCGCCCCCTGTGCTGCACCCCAGGCTGCGCGCCCAGCAGTGCATGGACTGCGGGAAGAGCCTGGCAGCAGGGAAGCCCCCGCCACCACCGGCGGAGAAGCCATTCAAGTGCACGGACTGTGGGAAGGGCTTCGGGCAGCGCTCGGCCCTGGTGAAACACCAGCGGATCCACACGGGTGAGAAGCCCTACGCCTGCCCTGACTGTGGCAAGGGCTTCATCCAGAAGTCGGACCTGACCATCCACCGGCGCATGCACACCGGGGAGAAGCCCTACCGCTGCCCCGAGTGCGGGAAGTGCTTCAGCGTCAGCTCCAACCTCATCACCCACCAGCGCACTCACCTGGGCGAGAAGCCCTACCAGTGCTCCGAGTGTGGCAAGAGCTTCATCCAGCGCTCAGAGCTCACCATCCACCAGCGCGTGCACACCGGCGAGAAGCCCTACAAGTGCCCCGAGTGCGGGAAGTGTTTCAGCCGTAGCTCCCACCTCAACCGGCACCAGCGCACCCACGCCGGCGACAAGCCCTCGCTGCTCTCCGCCACCAAGAACTCCGTCGCTGCCACCAGCAACCCCCTGCAGGCCTCCTCTGCCTTCTCCTCTGCCTCCTTCTCCTCCCCGCTGGGCACCTCCTCTGCCCCCCTCCCCACCCTACCCTCTTTCCCTTCCTCACCCTCACCCATCTCCATCCCCGCCCTCTCCAATAACCCACTGGATCTGCCCTGGGCCCTGTCCTTCCCATCCCGTGCCTTCCCCCACCCTTCCTTCCCCTCGCCTGCTCCGTCCGGGGCCCCGGCCTCATCACTGATAAACTAACCGCCCCCCGCAGCCTCTCTGTTCCCCCTCGCTCCCCTAATTCTTCCCTGCCTCCCTCCTTACTCCCCATGAATCTTGCCTCTCCCCCTCCAATCTCCCACTGGGCACCACATAATCTCAACTCTCTCCCCCCGGTACCCCATGAATCTCACCTTTCTCTCCAACACCCCCACTGTCTCCCCAACCCTCCCCTCCCCCCCCAATCCCCACCAGCACTGCCAAATCTCTTGCAGTTTCATGGTGAGTCTCGTGATATTTGGCATTTTCCCTAAAGTCTCAGTTCCTGGAGCCAGGGGATTTTCATGAGAATCTCAGCTTCGAAAATTTCTCGTCCTGGTTGCAGAGAGAGGCAGGAAAACATGATCCCTGGTGGCTCAGACACCAGAAGGCAAATAATCCCAACGCTGAATTTAGTATTTGTAAGCCAAATTCCTGATTGGGGGCCTGCGAAGGCATGGGGCTGGTGATACTGCTATGGCTATGAAGCTGGTCTTGTCTTTCTCCTTTCCCCAGTCCTTCTCTTCCTTCGGCATTCACGCCATCCACCTCCTCTCTCCTTACCATCCTTTTTGGCCTTTCCCCCGGACACTCCTGGTTCCTCCACCTCTCCCTTTCGTGTCCCCAGTGCCTGTACCAGTGGCCCCTCTGATTCTGCCGCACAACATCCTCATTCAGCTCTGCAGCACTGGACCAGATCCCCTTCCTGGCTCGTCACCAGCTTTTGCCCATCTCTGGGCAAGGCGGTTGCTGAGCCCTCTCCATCTCTGATCCTCTCTGTCTTCACTCTGTGTGATCCCCACAGGGATCACTGTGCTGTTGTAAAAGAAATCTTAGGAGGCCCAGACCTGAAGGGAAAGGCAGATAGGCCGAGACTGGAAGCATCCTGTGCTGAGAGCAGCAGCAAAGTCCCATGCTCCTCCGGTGAGTGGAATGAACAATTCAATCCCTACCCTGCAGAGTTCAAGTGTCCAGAGACACAACAGCCTAGCAAGCCAAGCCGCTGACTGCGTGGGCTACTGGAGGGCTGGCATCTCCATACCTGTAGCCAAGCATAGGTTGGCGGGGGAAGGTTAGAGTTAGGGCTGGTCAACAATTGTCACATTCTGATGAAAAATTATGTTGACCTCTTGAATTTTGATGGAAAAGAGAAGAAATTAATTTTCCAACATTGTGAATCCCCCCCCTTTATTTCCCCCCCCCCTTCTTTTTGAACATCTCTAGAGCATGGCCAACATCGTCTGGACTTTCAAAACTTCTGTGCAAATTTTAGAATTTTGAAAGTTTGAAAACTGGACCTGACATTTTTATTTTTATTTTTTTGCTTCCCCTCCCCTTCCACCCTGTTTTTCAGCTGCCTCTAGTTAGGATCATCACTGAAAAGCTAGGTAACAGTTATCACTCAAACTAATTTCATTTGGCTCGTCCCGTATTTCTGCTTCCATCTTGGATCAATTACTATCTCTGACTGCTCTTGCGACTCTGTTTTCCAAGTCTGTTTCGATTTTCCTTTTTAAAATTTTTGTAACCTTGTAAATAGACCGGTGATAGTTTTAGACTCTGTAAATATTTTTTTAAAATCTATTTTCCTGTTACTCGTAGAGGAGAATGCTGTGTTTTAAACACCTGCTGTACTGTAATGAAGAAGGAGGGAGTCCGGGAGGACTTATCCGGACTTAGCCACCCTCCCAGCACACTACTTGATACCCAAAGAGAGATTCCCCTTCAGCCCCAGACCATTTAAGAAACTAAAGAGTCAGTGTGGTAGCAGGTAGCAGCAAATACTTGAGACTACTTAAATCCATATTTAGGCTGGTGTATCCAAACGCCAAGTGTCCAGCATATCCCAAATCACCCTTGCATTTTGCAACTGCTGTCATGTATTCCCACATCCCAGCTGGAATTTCATGCACCCCCCCCTCCCTGCCCCCCAAGTGTTTGCCTTCAGCTCCCTCTTTCTGCCACACGTGAGCAGGCAAGGCGCCTCCCTGGCTTGCCTTTTGCTGCCCCCTGGCACTGGATCCCAGCAGGGAAGAAACGCATGGGAAAAGCAGAAGGCAGCAGCAGTGTGCCCAGCTGGCAGGGATGGAATATGAGGAGATTCAGTACAAGCCACATGATCCCCTGGCTGCCTCCCAGACAGCAGCCCTGACACTTCAGCATCCAGCTCCCCCAGCATTTTCAGCACCCTTCAGACAGCACCAAGACACTCTCTCCACACTCAGCAACCCATCCATCTCCCTGCAGCTTTCCAAGGTTTGTGCAGCCCCATGTCCTGCCCCATCATTGCTGGGGGCAGGACAGTGTTAGAAGATAAGAACATAAGAACGGCCATACTGGGTCAGACCAATGGTCCATCTAGCCCAGTATCCTGTCTTCCAACAGTGGCCAATGCCAGGTGCCCCAGAGGTAATGAACAGAACAGGTAATCTTCAAATGATCCAACCCCTGGATCATTTACCCCAGCTTCTGGCAAACAGAATCTAGGGACACCATCCCTGTCCATCCTGGCCAATAGCCATTGATGGACCTATCTTCCATGAATTTATTCTTTTTTTGAACCCTGTTATAGTCTTGGCTTTCACAACATCCTTTGGCAAAGAGTTCCACAGGTTGACTGTGCGTTGTGTGAAAAAATACTTCCTTTTGTTTGTTTTAAATCTGCTGCCTATTTTTCATTTGGTGACCCCTAGTTCTTGTGTTATGAGAAGGAGTAAATAACATTTCCTTATTGACTTTCTCCACACAAGTCATGATTTTATAGACCTCTATCATATTCCCTCTTAGTCGTCTCATTTCCAAGCTGAAAAGTCCCAGTCTTATTAATCTCTCCTTATATGGAAGCCGTTCCATACCCCTAATCATTTTTGTTGCCCTTTTCTGAATCTTTTCCAATTCCAATATATCTTTTTTGAGTTGAGGCAACCACATCTGCACGCAGTATTCAAGATGTGGGCGTATCATGTATTTATATAGAGGCAATATATTTTCTGTCTTATTATCTATCCCTTTTTTAATGATTCCCAATATTCTGTTCGCCAGAAGCTGCAGTTTATGATGACATGCAAAGTGGTTGCAAGCATGCAGATTAACTTATTAAATCATTAGAGAGCCAAGGTGGGGGAGGTAATATCTTTTATTGGACCAACTTCTGTTGGTGAGAGAAACACGCTTATAAGCTACATAGAGCTCTTCTTCAGACCTGGGAAACTTAGACCTAGTCTACACTGCAGAATTATTTGATATAACTACATCAATCAGGGGTGTGAATGATCTACACCCCAAAGCGACATAGTTGTACTGGCCAGACAATCACTTTGTTCTCGAATGAACTCTCACAGAAAAATGATAAAAGACAAAAACTCTGTCACCAGTGTGTGAACACTTGTCACAAAGTAATCCCCCCATATCTGACCTGCTGAACACCTTCAAAACATGAGCCTGGGAGTTTAAATTCATAACTTTGCTAGACACTTAAAATCATGGTCTTAATAAAGACACTGGATTTATCACTTATTATATTTATGTAACCCACTAACTCCCTTTTTGTTCTGTGATTACAAGGGTGTTAGTCACACTTTGCCTTGAATGGTCCCTTAGAATAAGGACTTAGTACTTATGCTGAACTATCTTTTTGATCTTGTATTTAGCTGTGACACTCTGAGCCCTGGTCTACACCACAGAATTACTTCGGTATAACTACATCACTCACACCCCAAGTGGTGTTATACTGACCTAAATGCCAATGTAGGCAGTGCTATGTTGGTGTCACGGATTAACCTGTGCCACTGAGAGAGTTCTCTCCTGTCAGTGTAGAACGTCTTCATTGAAGCACTACAGCTGTGCCGATGCAGAGTTTTAAGTGTAGACTTAAAACTGAGTACCTTTCACACTCCATGTCGCTCGAAAGCTTGTCTCTCTCCCCAGCAGAAGGTTTTCCAATAAAAGATATTACCTCACCCACCTTGTCTTTCTAACATCCTGGGACCGACACGGCTACAACAACACTGCATACATCATTACATCTTTGGAAAACTCCAGCCTACATGAGTGGCCTAATTTTTCAGAGGTGCTGTGCTCCTGGCCCATGACTGGGGCACCAAGTATTACACCCATGATAGTAATAAATGAAATACTGCTGCTTCTCCTTGACACTGATAGTCTTTATGGCTGCCCAGTGCCCCTGAGAACCAGGCAGATTTCATTTAGATGCCTTCATATGGCTATAGGGACCAAATCCTCAGCTGGTGTACATTAGTGTTGTGTCATTGACCTGAAGGCAGTGAAAAACTCCAACTGAGAATTCTATTCTAGTAAAGAAGTGGGGTTTTTTACCCACAAAAGCTTATGCCCAAATAAATCTGTTAGTCTTTAAGGTGCCACCGGACTCCTCGTTGTTTTTGTGGACTCAGACTAACACGGCTATCCCTCTGATACTATTCTATCCGAGTGGTTTTTATACCACTTTCATCACCGTAGCATCTGAGTGCCTTCCAGTAGTGCATTAAACATCTGTATAATATCTAACAGTTTAGGCACTGAGGTCTAACAATTCGGGCCTAAATATATGTTTTTAACCCTCCCATAAAAAGACCCAGAAAACTGTACTGTACCGCTGACTAAAGAACCAGGCTTCATTTGGACTCTTGTGTTTTGGGATGATCCTAGCTTTTTTGTGGGTCATGAAAGAGAAGAAAAATGGGATTTGGAATCCCCAAGCATTTTCAAATTTGGGTTTTGGCTTGGAGTGTCTGTTTCTGACAGTGGGGCTTGGCGCTTCAGAGTATAAACACCCCACAGCCCAGTGAAAAAACCAATCCTCCCACGAAGTCTATGAATGGGTTTTGCATCATCAGGATGGGAAACTTGGAACCAGAATGCAAGTGCCAGCTGATCCAGAGTTCTGTTCGAATATTCAGCGCTACTTGGTCCAGGAAGTTCCTTGTTCTTAAAGAAACAGACACTTGAAGTGACAGGAGAAAACCTTTGTTGTTTTTGGTTTGAAGTTTGATTTCATGCATATGGTGAGGAACCATAAAATCAATTAACCTGATTAAGTGACAAACATTAAACTTAGATGTTAAATTATTTGCAGCCTTTAATTTTGTGCTAGCACCTTAGGTGCCACGATGATGGGATGCTTTGAAGACAGACACTTAGATAGACCTATTAAATAGAAAGACAGGTGGAAAGACGTGGGATATCAAGAAGGAACTGCATCAGGAGAGGTATAGCCTACGTAACAGAGGCCTTTGTGCAACCTGAGACTCAACCTCATGTGTGAACTAGAAGACCAAAAGATTCAGACTTGTGATCTTGTTCAGCAATAAGGATGAGGTATTTTTTGGTGGAAGACGAGTGTGTGGTATTGCAGCTGGAACTGGAAATGTTACACATGGAGTGAACCCTCAATAACCAGAGAAGTATCAATGCCAGGAGGAATGTTACATTGACAAGGAGCAAGATCTCGAGGGATGGCATTATCAGGAAGAGCCACAGGACTGTCGCGGTCATGAGCAGAGAGACTGTTCCAGCAGCTGTTGGTCTTTCACCTGAGGGTGATGGTGAAAGATGAAGAATAACCTCCACCGCTTTAAACAGTTATTCTGTAAACACACTGCTGAAGGATGCCTGATCTGGAGTGGGTTTGTTATGTGCCTTCGAGAAAGTTTGTGAATGGTGCAAATTGAAAGAAGAAACAGGAGTTTTCCACCTGTCACTGCTGTTTCTGGGGAAACACATAAGGCTGATGCTAGAATGAGCTCTTGTGCTACCATGAGAGCTGTTCTGCTGGTGACGGAAGCATAGTGCAGATGCTTCTGCCTGCTCAGTAAAGGGGCTGGTACAAATTGTATGCAGGGTTTCCATGCCAGTGACTTTGAGAAGCTGTCAGAGGCGTCTCCCTAGAAAAACTGAAATGTATCTCTTCGTGGACAGTTTGAGGGCATGTCACAGGGATCTCAGAGTCTGAAAGCTGAACCCAGTCGGAAAGGCCAATGAGTTGGTAGATCGGTACCATATCTGCCAAGGGCTCAATGGCACAGTGAGCCCTTGGAAACGCTGGCCAGTTTGCCTGCTGGTGCTTCCTTTTGGAATGATAAATGCTCCAGTGGCATTTCAAAGGATGGGCAACAAAGAGGCACCAGGGCTGAATGGGAAAACATTTGTCTGCAGCTAGAGGTGTGAGGTATGCCCAAACCATGAACCAACTCTGTCTGCGAGGCCACTACCGAGAGCAGCAGACCTGTTGCTGGGGTGCTAAAGTGGCGAGCCTGCTAGAGTGGGGTGTACCAAAGACTGGCCCACTATGAAGAAGGCTTTTTGGGAGCAGGGGGGTTACTGCTGCAGTACCATTGGGAGCACTTGACACAGACCAGCATGCGCTGAACCGCATCCAGCCGAAGGAGACAGAAAGCTGTACTGAGAGTATTACTGGAAACGTAATGGGGGTGTTTTCTGAAATGATTCCCTGAGTCTGCTCTCGCTGAAATTAATGGGAAGACTAGGCAGCTCGGTCAACGCCCCTTGCCTTTGAAAATCCCAGCCTCTAAGGCCATGCCCTAAAGGGTCAACCCACCCCTCATCTTGGGTACTG